CTTCGCTGCCCCTCCACGTGACCAGGCCTGAGGTCCTCCCCAGGGACTGGTCTCCTGATCACACGTCCAAAGCATGCGAGATGAAGCCTCGCCATTCTTGCCTCGAAGGAGCCTGCCACCCTCGAATCCACCATCTCTGCAAAGAAGCCCACTGCCTTTTCACTCCATTTAGAAGTGAGTGTAGAGTGTTGAGTGAGCGGGAGTGAGTCCTCTTGGCCATCGTAGGATATGTGCCCGTGGAGCACGATGCCCGTCCGGGCGAGAGACCGGCGTGGGAGTGAGCGAGAGGGCAGGCGGCCATCCCATTTAGTTGCGTCTCAGTAGGCAGCGTTGACTTTCCCAAAAGAGAAGCTGACGTCATAATGACGGCGTGCCTAGAGGAATCCTCCTGGGACATTTGGATCTGCCCCGCCACACACATGCATGGCAGTGTGCAACCGCTCAAGTCTCCTCTCTGCATACACGCGTACTTCTGTGTCTGTGTGCCTTAGTGTCCGCGTCGTTCTAAAAATCAGAATTCTAAGTGTACGTGATCCATACCATTTTAGGTAGGTAGGCCGTTTGATCGGTCGCCAGGGAGAGAGAATGAGAAGGTTGTCGCGAAGATTATTCACCAAATATTGACAGTGGTTCCAGGTTCTAGGTCTGAGAAAGATTTTTTTTTTAAGTTCCTTATCTGTACATGTTTTCCAACGTTTCCAAGTCAACTTGCATTATCTTTTGCAAGAAACAAATGTATGTGGCCGCAGCTCACACATCGAGTTGCGCCGTAAGCCACCCTCCCAGCAGTATGGATTGTGTGCAGGTATGTGCATTGGCAGAAGTGAGTATTTGTGTGTTGAATGTGTGAGAATGGGAGAGTGTACGCGAATGTAAGCGCGTGTGCATGTTTATGGCCTGTGTATATGTTGTGTGTGGTATGTGGGGTAGGTACATGGTGCATGTGTGAATGTGCTTGCCAAGTGTTGGACTAAGGATGGTGTGTGTTTGTGTGTGTAGTTTATACAAAGGAGTGTGGGGGTGTTTATGGTATGTATAAGTGTGTAAGAGGGTGTGGTATGTGTTTGTGGTGTCTGGTTTATGTGTGTGTGTAGTGGGGGTGTGGCATGTGAGGACATTTATGGACTGTATGAATGTATGGTGTGAGCATGAGTATGATTGGTGTGGTGGGTGTAGGGTGTGGGTGTTTGCGTGCGTGAGGTGTGAGTGTGTGGTGAGTGTGCGTACGATGCGAGTGTGTGTGGTGTTTGTGAGGTATGCTGTGTGTTAGACTTCAGGCCGGTGCTCGCTGTATTCTGGACTGTTGCACAGAGACGGTGGCGCTGCCCCAAGCAGCACAGCAGCGGCTCTTCCACATGGGTTCCCACAGGCCCCGTTATCACCTGCCACCTGGGGGGCTGAATTTATCCTCATACACCCGCCTTCCAAAAAGTCACCCAAGGGGACCCTCCCGACAGTAGGAAGAGCGTGCTGCGTGGGTGTTGGGGAACAGTCCGTAAGGCGAGCGTGTGTTGGCTTCCCCAGGGCCTGTGCACCTGCTCCCGTCCCTGGGCCGAGAGGAAGCCTGCAGCGTGGGCCGGGCCCTGGGCTGCCCTGTGCTCTCCAAGGCCGCCCTCCACGACAGGTACGTCTGGCCCTGGTCCCTCCGTGGCGTGTTCCCTCGCACACACACACCCCCTCTGCCACCCTTGTGAGTCCTGAGGGCAGTTCTGCTCTGTGCCAGACTCCGCAGGACGACAACAGGTGTGGGTTACTCATAGCGACTCTACAGGACAGGGTAGAACCGTACGTACCGTTCCACGGGTGACTACAGCCGCGCCCCGGGCTTCCCAGCCTGAGTCTTTACAGGAGCACACGGCCGCGTCTCTGAACTGCCGAGCTTCCAGTTAGCTGCCCACACTTAAGCTGCTGCGCCACCATGGCTTCTTAGAGATGCTGCTAGTTGCCCATTTTCAGGCCATGCTAGTGGGGCATCACTGCATCAGGGATGTTTGGGGTTTAAAAATATATATATGTTGGAGAGTTAAGAATAAAGTAGACCTCTTAAAATGAACAATATTTCATACAATATTCCTTATACTCTGCTTGCCTATTCATGTTATATTTTTCTTATCTCCACAATCTGTTCCACCTCTGACAACCATTGAGGACTTTCTGACATGTCCTGTATGATTTTAGGGCATCCAAGAAGGCAAGTTTGTAAGGATACAGAATATGTTTTTATTTAATGGTTTAGATTAACTGCATAGTAGATTGCTTGTAGTTCTGCTAACCGCAAGGTCAGCAGTTTGAAACCACTAGCCGCTCCAGGGGAGAAAGGGAAGGCTTTCTCCTCCCATAAAGAATTCTGGTCTCGGAAACTCAACGGGACAGCCCTACTCAGTCCTACAGGCTTGCTGTGAGTCGGAATCAACATGTGAGTTTGTGGATGGCTATTCAAAATTGATTTCTTAAAAAAATAGTTTTGAAGTAAACTGAGTCACTTAGTGTGTTGAGGACAGGAGCCCGGGTAGCATGGTGGTTACACATCAGACTGCTAACCACACGGTCGGCAGTTCGAAACCACCAGTTGTCCCGAGGGAGAGAGACAACACTTTCTACTCCCGTAAGAAGAGGTAGTGTTTCAGAAGTCCCACTGGGCCATTCTACGTTGTCCTGTAGGCAAGCTCGCTATGAGTCGGCATCCACCCGATGGCAGTGAGTGAGTGTATTGAGGGACGTTTGTAACAGGAGAAAGTGCTGGAATTCGGGCTTTCCTCATGGACTTAGAAATGAAATCCCACTTCACTTGGGGAGACCAAGTTATGACTTAAAAGCATTTTTGCTATTTAGTGCTTGCAGGCTTGGGCGTGGGGGGTGATTTCCCTTTTCCATGTGGCATTTAACGGCGTCTCCCCACTGTGTGCAGGGCGGCAGGTTCTGTGGGGGAGATGATCCCCACCTTCTTCGGGTCCCTGTCCCGGCCCGTCGGTGGCGAGTTCTCTGACGCCTGGCCTCTGATGCAAAGCCCGACGGGCAGCGACAGCATCTCTTTCTGCGAATCTTACCCTGAACTCACTGGCGAAGAGCTGGGCGCCCTCCATCCGGAACAGGAGAACGCCCCCTCGCTGGGTGCCAGCGACAGTCAGGATTGGGCAGGGGGAGCCATCCTGAGTCACACCCATTCTGGAAGCTCTGCGGAGGACCGGTGTGGCTGGTCCAGACCAAGTGACACCGCGGCAGGACCACCGGCTCAGGACTCCCCGCCCTCCAGGTGCCCGACAGAGCAAGAACAATGGGGAGGCCGTGGACCCAGCCACTGCCCCTTCCCTCCAGGTAAGGCGGTGAGTGCCTGGTTACTATGGGGACCAAACGGCATTCCCACCTGTGGGGATGGGCTGGTGGGGTGTGGGGAGCCGGCTGGGAAGGCTTTCTGCAGGGTTGTTGCTGTGCGGAGTGGCCGGGGGGTCGTGCTTAAACCTTCGGAAGCTTCAGGAGCATCAGAACCAAGCGCTGCCTGGTCCCGCGCTGTGCTCACCGGCCATGGCTGGGCGCCCCTGTACAATCCATATCCATTTTGTGAGATGGACTGACTCTGACCAGCATAATGGCCTCGAGTCTTGTCCACGTGCGGTGGCGTTGAAGGGCGTTACCGCTGTTGTCCACGGATGCATGAACTTCCACCGTGGGAACATACCACGGCCCGCCCAGCCACTCCTTTGGGGATTTTGAGTGGCAGGTTTCTCTTACCTCTCTGAGCTGTGTGATCTCGAAATTAGTAAGTGAACCACGGAAACCGAAATCCGGCATGCCGAATTCCTGAAAGAAATTGCTGGAAATGTACATGATAAGACTGCAAAGGGGCAACTAGAGCCATAGCTCAAGATGACCCTGGGGGCACAGCGGGTTACGCATTGGGCTGCCAACCTCAGGGTCAGCAGTTCAAACTCACCAGCTGCTCCTTGGGAGCCACGTGAGGCAGTCTGTTCCCGTAAAGACAGACAGCCTCAGAACCCCACAAGGCAGTTCTTGTCTGTCCTATGGGGCCCTGCGAGTTGGAATCAACCTGAGGGCAGTGAGTTCGGTTATAGCCATAGCTACTTTTGTCTCTATCC